AATTGCGCCTTGAGTATTTCACTCTTGAGAAATTCCCATCCATCCGTAACTCCCTTGTCTTTTAGTATCTGTGTCCATGGAATAAGAAGTTCTATCACCAGCCCATTCTGGCTCTGAGTCAGAATGGGCTGCACCAACCGAACTCGGCCTCTAGGGGGAACCTAAGCTCTCCCCTAAACTTGGCAAAATGGAACAGTCCAACTGGGAAATAAACAGGCCGAGACTTCACAGTTTGCTTGTTTGCCAAGTTGTAGTTCACCTAAATCCAGAGAGCACTGTGGACTCAAACAATGATCAATCTGGACCAAACTTGGCACAAACACTCAATATGTCCAAATGTGGACTCTGGTGGAGTTTGGGGAAAATAGACCTTGACATTTGGGAGTTGTAGTTGCTGGGATGTATAGTTCACCTACAATCAAAGAGCGTTCCGAACCCCACCAATGATAGAATTTGGCCAAACTTCCCACACAGAACCCCCAAGACCAACAGAAAATACTGTATATGATGGTCTTTGGTGACCCCTCTGCCCCCCCTCCCCCCCCCCCCCCCCCCCCGGTTGAGAAACACCCCCAGGTTGAGCAACACTGTTCTAGAACATGGCTATATAGCCTGAAAAACCTACAACAACCCAGTGATTCCAGCCATGAACCCCTTCGACAATACTTTGCTCTGTCTCTTCCTCCCCATTTCCTGCCCACAGAAACCCACTGAGAAGGGAGAGACAGAGCCCCCCCACGCCCCCCACCCGCAGCCTCTTTCCTCTCTCGGTCTCGCTTTCAGGGACTCCAGTTCCATCTTCCTAACGCAAAGCCACATCTCTTCCGGAAGAGCAGGGAAAGGGAATGTCCTGCTGTCGAGCCAGGCCTCATCCTCCCCCGGTCGGTCTCTTGGCATTTCCTTTTTTCTGCCTCCGTGGAGTCTCTTGCATTTGTCCCGGTGTGGGGACCCCAGGTCTAAAGAGGCCTCTCCACAACTGCCGCAAAAGGGGCCCCGCCATCTGGAATTATTGTGAGGGGGGGGGGAGGGCGCCATGGTACTAGTGAAGGGTCAATACACTCTCTGGTTAACTGAAGGGAACATTATTATTCTCCTTGGTTCTCTTTATGTAATTCCTTAATGAACACAGATTTTTCCCCCAAATTAAAGTCTTCGCGTACTTGGGACAAGGATTGGTGATTCATAGAATCCTAGAATCCTAGAGTTGGAAGAGACCTCCTGGGCCATCCTCCAGTCCAACCCCATTCTGCCAAGAAGCAGGAATATTGCATTCAAAGCACCCCCGACAGATGGCCATCCAGCCTCTGTTTAAAAGCTTCCAAAGAAGGAGCCTCCACCACACTCCCTCCGGGGCAGAGAGTTCCACTGCTGAACGGCTCTCACAGCCAGGGGCCACGGAGTCTCAAGTTCTAGAATCCTAGAATCCTAGAGTTGGAAGAGACCTCCTGGGCCATCCAGTCCACCCCCATTGTGCCAAGAAGCAGGAATATTGCATTCAAATCACCCCTGACAGATGGCCAGCCAGCCTCTACTTAATACTAATAATAATAATAATAATAATAATAGAGTTGGAAGAGACCTCATGGGCCTTCATCCAGTCCAACCCCATTCTGCGAAGAAGCAGGAATATTGCATTCAAATCACCCCTGACAGATGGCCAGCCAGCCTCTACTTAATACTAACAATAATAATAATAATAATAATAATAATAATAATAATAATAATAATAATAGAGTTGGAAGAGACCTCATGGGCCTTCATCCAGTCCACCCCCATTCTGCCAAGAAGCAGGAATATTGCATTCAAATCACCCCTGACAGATGGCCAGCCAGCCTCTACTTAATACTAAAATAATAATAATAATAATAATAATAATAATAATAATAATAATAGAGTTGGAAGAGACCTCATGGGCCACCATCCAGTCCACCCCCATTCTGCGAAGAAGCAGGAATATTGCCTTCAAATCACCCCTGACAGATGGCCAGCCAGCCTCTACTTAATAATAATAATAATAATAATAATAATAATAATAATAATAATAGAGTTGGAAGAGACCTCCTGGCCCATCCAGTCCAACCCCATTCTGCAAGAAGCAGGAATATTGCATTCAAATCACCCCTGACAGATGGCCATCCAGCCTCTATTAAAAAGCTTCTCTGCAAGAATCATAGAATCAAAGAGTTGGAAGAGACCTCATGGGCCATCCAACCCCATTCTGCCAAGAAGCAGGAATATTGCATTCAAATCACCCCTGACAGATGGCCATCCAGCCTCTGTTTAAAAGCTTCCAAAGAAGGAGCCTCCACCACACTCCCTCTGGGGCAGAGAGTTCCACTGCTGAACGGCTCTCACAGTCAGGAAGTTCTTCCTCATGTTCAGGTGGAATCTCCTCTCTTGTAGTTTGAAGCCATTGTTCCCTTGCGTCCTAGTCTCCAGGGAAGCAGAAAGGAAGCTTGCTCCCTCCTCCTCCCTGTGGCTTCCTCTCACCTATTTATCCCTGGCCCTCATCCTGTCTCCGCTCATCCTTCTCTCTAAACATGCCCAGCTCCTTAAGCCGCTCCTCATAGGGCTTGTTCTCCAGACCCTTGATCATTTTGGTGGCCCTCCTCTGGACACATTCCAGCTGAGAGTCAACATCTCCCTTCAATTGTGGTACCCAGAATTGGACACAGTATTCCTTCCTTCCTTCTTCCTCCTCTCATGAAGCCTCCTCCTATGCTCTTTATTTCCTCCCCCCAGAAATGGTGGACATGACGTCATGTCAAGTTGGCTCAGTGCTCTGGAAATCATGGGAACTGGTTTCACTGGGTCTTTTGCCTTCCCAGAAACACAACTCCTATTTATTTATTTATTTATTTATTTATTTGCATCACTAGCCGTCCCCTGCCACACGTTGCTGTGGCCCACTCTGGTGGTCATGGGGGTTCTGTGTGGGAGCTTTGGCCCAATTCTATCGTTGGTGGGGTTCAGAATGCTGTGTGAACAGCAGAGACTCAGTTTGTGAGCATCCCAACAAGCCTCAATGTGGGTTTGAATTAGACGGGTAGAGAGGCCGGGTCTTGGCTGGCTGCGGGATTCCTTTGGGAGAGACAGGAAACTTGGTGGCTTACTTACTTTCTTACTTACTTAGGCGATCCCTCGTTGGACGAGTAAGATGGTCTTCCATTATGGGTTTCCTTGTGGGTCCGTATGTGGCTGTGGAGCCCTATTCTTGCTCTGCATCTCCTTCCGCAGTGAGGGCATTGGTTTCCAGGTGGAAGGCGGTCCCGGTCGGGGTTGGCTTGACGCGCCTTCCTCCTGGCACGTTTCTCTCTTTCACCCTCCACTCGTGCCTCCTCAAATTCTGCAGCACTGCTGGTCACAGCTGACCTCCAGCTGGAGCGCTCAAGGGCCAGGGTTCCCCAGTTCTCAGTGTCTATTCCAGAGTTTTTAAGGTTGGCTTTGAGCCCATCTTTCAATCTCTTTTCCTGTCCACCACTATTCCGTTTTCCATTCTTGAGTTCAGAGTAGAGCAACTGCTTTGGGAGAGAGAATCCATGGGTTGTTGTAGGTTTTTCCATGTTCTAGAGGCATTCTCTCCTGACGTTTTCGCCTGCATCTATGGCAAGCATCCTCAGAGGTACTGAGGTCTGTTGGAAGTAGGAAATGGGTTTATATATCTGTGGAATGGCTGGGGTGGGGCAAGGAGCTCTTCCCTGCTGCAGTTAGGTGTGAATGTTTACCTGATCACCTTCATTAGCATTTGAAGGCCTGCCTGAGCCTGGGAAAATCTGTTGCTGGGAGGTGTTAATCTGTGCCTGGTTTTTTCCTCTCTGTTGTTTAGCTGTTATAATTTTAGAGTTTTTTAATACTGGGAGCCAGATTTTGTTCATTTTCATGGTCTCTTCCTTTCTGTTGACATTGTCCACATGCTTCTTGGAGGTGTCTACCGTATACCATGCAGCTGTGGACAAGTCTCCAGAGGGACCCCCAAACGCAGCATGGCCCAGACACGCATCAAGGAACATGGAAGGCACGGCAGACTCCTTCAACCAGAGAAGTCAGCCATAGCAGAGCACCTGAGGAACCAGCCTGGACACAGCATATGATTTGAGAACACAGAAATGCTGGATCACTCCAACAACCACCATGTCAGGCTACACAGAGAAGCCATTGAAATCCACAAGAAGCATGTGGACAATTTCAACAGAAAGGAAGAGACCATGAAAATGAACAAGGTCTGGCTACCAGTATTGAAAAAAAACTCTAAAATTACAACAGCAAAACAACGGAGAGGAAACAACCAGGCACAGATTAACACCTCCCAGCAAGAGATTTTCCCAGGCTCAGCCAGGCCTTCAAATGCTAATGAAGGTGATCAACTGAAACATTCACACCTAACTGCAGCAGGGAAGAGCTCCTTGCCCCACCCTGGCCATTCCACAGATATATAAACCCATTGTCCTACTTCCAACAGACCTCCCTACCACTGAGGATGCTTGCCATGGATGCAGGCGAAACGTCAGGAGAGAATGCCTCTAGAACATGGCTCTATAGCCCGAAAAAACCCACAAGAACCTAGTGATTCCAGCCATGAAAGCCTTCGACAATACCTTGAAGTTCCACACTTTACACTGGCATACGCCCTACCTCAACATGTGTTATGACAGTATTTTCCTGCCCAGTTTACCGTATTGTTGCGCTTTCCTGCGCTCCTGTAAAAATGCATCGCACTCATTGAATCTGTACCTCAGCTATGTTTCTTTCAGCCATATTGTTTTTATATTGATTTAAATTGTGTTGTTATTTGTTTTATCTGATGTTTTAATTGGTTAAAGTGTTTTACATGTGTTTTAATTGTAATCTTGGGTGTGTCCCTTGTAAGCCGCCCCGAGTCCCCTACGGGAGATGGTTGGCGGGGTATAAACATTAAGATATTATTATTATTATTATTATTATTATTATTATTATTATTATTTCCATGACCCATGAAGGGAAAGGGAAAATATTGGAGGTAAAGGTTTCCCACTTTCATCCTTTATCTTCTGCTTCTTTCTTGACCAGGGAAACGAGGATTCTGTGGAGCCTCCTCTTGGATGCTGTCAGGGAGCAAATAACACAGGAAGAACAAGTCCTCTCAAGGCGATGATCTTGCTGAATTCTTGACCTCACTTACAGATAAGAAAGGAAAATACGAAGAGTCAAGTGTCCGTATAACAATTACACACCCATATCGCTCTTGACATGGAGGAGGAAGCATCTAAATGCCTGGTGTGTGGGACGAGTTTCACTTGGAGGGATCATCTCCAACAGCATGAAAGAACTTACACTGGAGAGAATCCCTACACATGCCTTGGGTGTGGAAAGAGCTTCACTCAAAGTTCAGGTCTACATTTGAGTCAAAAGACTAACATTGGGGAGAAAACATACATATGCCTGGAGTGTGGGAAGAGCTTCACTCAAAGTTCAAGTCTACATTCACATCAAAGGACTCACACTGGGGAAAAGCCCTATACATGCCTCGAGTGTGGCAAGAGCTTCACTCAGAGTGGTGGTCTACATTCACATCAAAGGACTCACACTGGGGAGAAGCCCTATACATGCCTGGAGTGTGGAAAGAGCTTCACTCAAAGTTCAAGTCTACGTTTGCATCAGAGAACTCACACTGGGGAGAAACCCTATACTTGTTTGGAGTGTGGACAGAGCTTCATTCACAGTTCAGGTCTACATTCACATCAATGGACTCACACTGGGGAGAAACCCTATAAATGCCAGGAATGTGGAAAGAGCTTTACTCATAGTTCAAGTTTATGTGTGCATCAAAGGACTCACACTGGGGAGAAACCCTATAAATGCCCAGAGTGTGGACAGAACTTTGCTTATAGTTCAGGTCTATATTCACATCAAAGGACTCACACTGGGGAAAAACCTTATACATGCCTGGTGTGTGGACAGAGCTTTACTAAGAGTTCAAATCTACGTTTGCATCAAAGGACTCACACTGGGGAGAAACCTTACACATGCCTTGAGTGTGGAAAGAGCTTCACTCAGAGGGGACATCTTCATTCACATCAAAGGACTCACACTGGGGAGAAACCCTATAAATGTCTGGGGTGTGGACAGAGCTTCACTCAGAGGGCAGCTCTATATTCACATCAAAGGACTCATACTGGGGAGAAACCTTATAAGTGCCTTGAGTGTGGACAGAGTTTCACTAATAGTGGAAGTCTACGTTCACATCAAAGGACTCATACTGGGGAGAAACCTTTTAAATGCCTCGAGTGTGGACAGAGTTTCAGTCATAGTTCAGGTGTACATTCACATCACAGGACTCACACTGGGGAGAAACCGTATAAATGCCTTGAATGTGGACAGAGTTTCACTTATAGTGCAAGTCTACGTTCACATCTAAAGACTCACACTGGGGAGAAACCCTATACATGCCTGGAGTGTGGACAGAGCTTCTCCGAGAGCCAAAATCTACATTCACATCAAAGGACTCACACTGGGGAGAAACCTTATACATGCCTTTACTGTGGGCAGAGTTTTGCTCAGAATGGAAGTCTACATAAACATCGGAGGACTCATACAGGAGAGAAACCCTATGCGTGCCTAGAGTGTGGAAAGTGCTTCACTCGTAGTTCAAGTCTATATTCACATCAACGCATTCACACTGGGGAAAAACCCTATACATGCCTGGAGTGTGGGAAGAGCTTCACTTATAATTCAGGCCTACGTTCACATCAAAGGACTCATACTGGGGAGAAACCCTATAAATGCCTGGAGTGTGGACAGAGTTTTACTGAGAGTGGAAGTCTACATTCACATCATCGGATTCATACTGGGGAAAAGCCCTATACATGCCTGGAGTGTGGACAAAGCTTCGCTAATAGTTCAAGTCTACGTTCACACCAAAGGACTCACACTGGAGAGAAACCCTTTATATGCTTGGAGTGTGGACAGAGTTTCACTGAGAGTGGAAGTCTATGTTCGCACCAAAGGACTCACACTGGGGAGAAACCTTATAAATGCCTGGAGTGTGGACAGACCTTTTCTCAGAATGGAAGTCTACATAGACATCAGAGGACTCACATAGACATCACAGGACTCACACTGGGGAGTAACTGTGTAAACGCATGGAGCCTGGAAAGAACTTCTCTGAAAGTTGAAAACATTGGGGAGGGCAGTGGTATTTGACCCCAGAGAGACTCTGTAACACAGCGTTCCAAACTTTTCAAGTCAGTGACACACTTTTAAGACATGCATCCTTTCACAACTTCATAATTCTGTTTATCTAGCAAACCAGAGGGTACAGAAATCCCTTATAAGATTTTCAGTATATACAATATAATATCATACAATATAATTGTGAAGTCTCGGCCTAGTTTTTACCCCTCTGTTTATTTCCCTGGAGGTGGACTGTTCCATTGTGCTGAGTTTTCGAGTAGGAGCTTAGGATCCCCCTAGAGGCCAAGCTCTGTTGGTTCAGCCCAGTCTGGCTCAGAGCCTGGTGGAAGGACCTGTTATTCCGTTCTTCTTGGACATAGCGTGTAGTAGTTTGCCAGAAAGTGTCTGGTCTGGCTTAGTGGTCTGGAACAGACAATCCTTAGCACGTATTTGCCTTATAGATTAGATAGTACATGTCCATGCCATAGTCTATACCTTTGCATGCCTTAGAGTCTATAGATTATAGTATATGCTATAAAGAATAGTTGTACATGTCCCAGAGTTTATAGAGTACTTACCTCATCATAGAATATAGTTTTATAGTGGTATTTGACCCCAGAGAGACGCTGTAACACAGCTTTCCAAACTTTTCAAGTCAGTGACACACTTTTGCAACTTGGTAATTCTGTTTATCTAGCAAACCAGAGGCTAAAGAAATCCCTTATAAGATTTTCAGAATATACAATATAATGTGATACAATATAATAATATATAGAATTAAGTTTCATATATTATTTGGTGCATAAACCATTAGAGGCAAAGATGAAGTATTTTGGCCACATCATGAGAAGACAGGAAAGCTTAGAGAAGACAATGATGCTGGGGAAAATGGAAGGAAAAAGGAAGAGGGGCGACCAAGGGGAAGGTGGATGGATGGCATCCTTGAAGTGACTGGATTGACCTTGAAGGAGCTGCGGGTGGTGACGGCCGACAGGGAGCTCTGGCCTGGGATGGTCCATGAGGTCACGAAGAGTCGGAAGCGACTGAACAAATGAACAACAATAAACAATTATTGTGTAATGTATTGTCGAAGGCTTTCATGAGTGGAATCACTCGGTTCTTGTGGGTTTTTTCGGGCTATAGAGCCATGTTCTAGAGGCATTTCTCCTGACGTTTCGCCTGCATCTATGGCAAGCATCCTCACCTCACTAGGTCTGAGGATGCTTGCCATAGATGCAGGCGAAACATCAGGAGAAATGCCTCTAGAACATGGCTCTATAGCCCGAAAAAACCCACAAGAACCTAATTATTGTGTAGTTCCCTCTATAGCTGTGGTTCATCACAAACATCGTTCTCTACAGGTTTTATTTTCTTTATTAAAAATATCCATTTTGGTGCCGAGTGGCTTCGTTGCCCCTCCTGGTGCCTCCTCTGCTCCTATTGGGGACAATAGCGGGGTTTTCATGTGACGCACCTGTAGGCTGCAGGCAACACACTTGTGTATCATAGCACACCATTTAGAAAGGTCTGATCCAAGACATACAAAGGCAATGCTCATAAATGTTGAAAAATGAGAGCTCAACGTTGGGATATTTTTAGCATATTGCCGTTGCTTTGCCGAATGTGGCCTTGTGAATCTTCCTGAAGGAGTTCAGGCCTCTCTTCTCAACTTAACTCAACCAAACCCTCATCCCAGGCCCATCATCAGGAACACCATTCCCATAATGAACTTCAACATGAACATCTGGCACAATCACAGGCTGAACGGGCTGACATACAGCAGAGACCCGAAAAGCCTCCAAAGAAGGAGCCTCCACCACACTCCCTCCGGGGCAGAGAGAGAGAGTTCCACTGCTGAACACTCTCTCACACACAGGAAGTTCTTCCTCAAGTTCAGGAAATACAATCAAAGGACTCGCCGTCATAGTGGATGAAGCGACAGCTCCCTCCTGTGCCCAGAATTGAACGTAACCTCCAGGCACCGAAGTGGAAATACCAAAAATATCTCTATCTGTTTGTCTGTATGTCTAGAAAACGGCATTGAATGTTGGCTGTGTATGTGTCCGTTGTGATCCACCCAGAGCCCCCTTTGAGGTGAGAAGGACAGAATATAAATACTGTAAATCAGTGGTTCTCAACCTGGGGGTCGGGACCCCTGCGGGGGTCGCCAGGGAGTATCAGAGGGGTCACCAAAGACCATCAGAAAACACAGTATTTTCTGTTGGTCATGGGGGTTCTGTGTGGGAAGTTTGGTCCAATTCGATTGTTGGTGGGGTTCAGAATGCTCTTTGAGTGTAGGTGAACTATAAATCCCAGCAACTACAACTCCCAAATGTCAAGGTATATTTCCCCCAAACTCCACCAGTGTTCACATTTGGGCATATTGAGTATTCATTTCAAGTTTGGTCCAGATCCATCATTGTTTGAGTCCACAGTGCTCTCTGGATGTAGGTGAACTACAACTCCAAACTCAAGGTCAATGCCCACCAAACCCTTCCCGTGTTTTCTGTTGGCCATGGTAGTTTTGTGTGCCAAGTTTGGTTCAATTCCATCGTTGCTGGAGTTCAGAATGCTCTTTGATTGTAGGTGAACTATAAATTCCAGCAACTACAACTCCCAAATGACAAAATCAATCAATCAATCAATCAATCTCCCAACCCTACCACTATTCAAATTTGGGCATATCGGGTGCCAAATTTGTGCCAAATTTGGTCCAGTCAATGGAAATACATCCTGCTTATCAGATAGTACATTACAATTAATAACAGGAGCAAAATTACAGTTATGAAGTAGAAAAATAATTGTATGGTTGGGGGTCACCACAACATGAGGAAATGTATTAAGGGGTCGCGGCATTAGGAAGGTTTGAGAAACACTGCTGTAAATGAATGAATGAATGAATGAATAAATAAATGCACTGAGTGAAAATGGTGCAGTGACTCAGCAAAACCAGCAGGTTGTTTTAAGCAGGTGTGCGTGTGGAGTTGTTCACCGTGTGAGAAGAGCCGAGCCTGCTAGGTGAGAGAAGCCCAGCATGTGAGCAGAGAAGATAGAAGGTAAAGTGCCGAATTAGATGGGGAGGGGGAGATACGGGAAAGGGAGAGATAAAAAACTAATTCGGCCAATTCGTGAACAAATGCTGAGGAAAATTCCAAAATGTGCTCCTGACTTGGTAAACGTGGGTTCCAAGGTAGACGGTCCTCCGGGATTGAAGGTGGTGCTGTTGAACGCCAGATCTGTCAATGGGAAAACATCAATCATCCAGGATTTGATACTGGAGGAAAAGGCAGATCTGGCGTGCATCACAGAGACCTGGTTGGACGAGGCTGGAGGGGTGAATCTCACCCAGCTTTGCCCACCAGGTTATGCTGTGCAGCACCAACCGAGATCCGGGGGGCGGGGAGGCGGAGTTGCAATAGTCTATAAAGATTCCATCTCCTTGATCAGAGGCCCAGCCTTACAGTCGACCTTGTTTGAATGTGTCCACCTGAGGCTAGGGGACCGGGACAGAATAGGGCTGTTGTTGGTGTACCGACCACCCCGCTGCACCTCAACAGCCCTACCTGAGCTTGCAGAGTTGGTCTCAGGCCTGGCATTGGAGTCCCAGCGGCTTGTTGTGCTGGGGGACTTCAATGTACATGCGGAGTCCACTCTTTCAGGAGCGGCTCAGGACTTCATGGCCACCATGGCAACTATGGGGCTGTCCCAACTAGTATCTGGCCCTACCCACTGTGCTGGACACACACTTGACCTGGTCTTCTGTCAGGGCTGGGAAGAAGGTGGCGGTGTGGAGGAGTTGTCAATCTCTCCTTTGCCATGGACCGACCACCATCTGATCAGGTTTAGACTCGTTGCAACATCTAACCTCCGCAGGGGTGGTGGACCCATTAAGATGGTCCGCCCCAGGAGGCTTATGGATCCAGAAGGATTCCTGATGGCTCTTGGGGATGTTTCCGCTGCCTTGGATGGTGATTCTGTCGATGCCCTGGTCGCTCACTGGAATAGGGAGTTGACTAGGGCAATAGACACGATTGCTCCAGAGCGCCCCCTCTTAAGTCGCCGAGCGAAACCTGCCCCTTGGTTCAACGAGGAGCTGGTGGAGCTAAAGCGAACAAAGAGATGGCTAGAGAGCGTGTGGAGGAAAGAGCCCAGCGAGCCAAACCGAACACGTCTACGCCTTTATCTAAGGGCGTATGGCGCGGCAATAGAGGCCGCGCAAAATGCTTTCTATTCGGCCAATATTGCGTCCGCAAGGAACCGTCCGGCAGAACTGTTTCGAGTAGTCAGAGGGTTGTTGAATCCCACCTTGAGTGGGTCCCCTGATGACTCGGCAGCGCGCTGTGAAGCATTTGCTCAGTACTTTGCGGACAAAGTCGCTTTGATCCGCGCGGGCTTTGACACCACATTAACTGCAGTCTCTGAGGATGTAACTCAAGCATCTGCTTGTCCAGTTTTGTTGGATTCGTTTCAATCTGTTCAACTCGACGAGGTCATCAGGGTTCTGGGAGAGGCGAGACCTACCACATGCATCCTAGACCCCTGCCCTTCCTGGCTGGTAAAAGAAGCCAGAGGGGGTTTGGCAGAGTGGGTAAAGGTGGTGGTTAATGCCTCCCTTCGGGAAGGCAAGATTCCAGCCAGCCTAAAACAAGCTGTAATTAAACCGCTGTTGAAAAAACCATCACTAGACCCCACTCAATTCGTCAACTTTCGGCCAGTTTCCAATCTCCCCTACTTGGGCAAAGTCTTGGAACGTGTGGTGGCCTCGCAACTCCGGGAATTCCTGGTGGACACGGACTATCTAGATCCGGCACAGTCGGGCTTTAGGCCGGGACATGGTACTGAGACAGCCTTGGTCGCCTTAGTTGATGATCTGCGCCGGGAACTGGACAGGGGGAGTGTGTCCCTGTTGGTTCTACTGGACCTCTCTTCGGCCTTCGATACCGTCGACCACGGTATCCTTCTGGGACGCCTCGCGGAAATGGGTCTCGGGGGTACTGCCTTGCAGTGGCTCCGGTCCTTTCTCGAGGGTCGCTCCCAGAAGGTGTCACTAGGGGACTCCTGCTCGACTCCTCGGCCATTGCACTGTGGAGTCCCGCAGGGCTCAATACTGTCCCCTATGTTGTTTAACATTTACATGAAGCCGCTGGGAGAGATCATCCGGAGTTTTGGGGTGCGATGTCATCTGTACGCAGATGATGTCCAACTCTATCACTCTTTTCCACCTACCACTAAGGAGGCTGTTCAGGTCATGAACCGGTGCTTGGCCGCTGTCTCGGACTGGATGAGGGACAACAGATTGAAACTAAATCCAGACAAGACAGAGGTACTCCTGGTCAGTCGTAAGACCGAACAGGGTACGGGGTTACAGCCTGAGCTGGACGGGGTCACACTCCCCCTAAAAGCTCAGGTACGCAGTCTGGGAGTTCTCCTGGATTCATCGCTGAGCCTGGAACCCCAGGTCTCAGCGGTGGTCAGGGGAGCTTTCGCACAATTAAAACTTGTGCGCCAGCTGCGTCCGTACCTTGGGAGGGCTGACTTGGCCACGGTAGTACACGCTTTGGTTACATCCCGCTTAGA